TTATCCAGGCACTATCAATCAATTGTTTTTGCTCAATCACGGAGACGGTGTTTGGAGCGAAACCCGCTTAAACGTTTTGTAAATCGACCTGTCCTCCGGTTGGTCGATTAGAACGAACATGTCCTGCGAAATATATCATCATGATTTTGGGGCGTTGGAGTGTACTTGACATATTGGACAAGTCCATTATGTAACTTTCAGGGAGCGGGAGAGAACCGATATTGAGCCTCAATTTACTGTTGAACAAAATCGCGGTTTATAGATTGGACATCCAAGGTCTTGTCCGCTAACGGGTCTGGCAATTAGCATGTAATCGCTTAGTCATTGGATTTTGGAACGGATTTTGCCTAAATCCAGCGAAATATTACATATGTCTATAAAAGGACAACTTAGCGATTGGTTTATCAATACTTAGAGCTCACTGACTAGTTGGAGTCTGGTCAGAAAGAGTTATTAATTTACCAAGAATTTTTGTATACTGATGGTTTAGGAGAAGATGCTTTTATAAATAAACTTTTGTCCAACGAGGTGGAGAGGTTCCAAAGAGATGTTGGAAGGCATACCAGCCACTTGTAACTGACACACTGATAAACTCTCTCAACATGCACACTCACAGAACACTTTGTAAACACAAAATTTGGTTTGAAAAATGTTTAGCAAAAACTAATTAAATAAATCGTTCACACGCGAGTGTTGCTAACTGTCCCTAGCACTTCAAAATAATTAAGTGACGGCAAAAATGTTAACAAGATGCGACTGATAACTCACTTAAACCTTTCAGTGTCCATAAAGACAAAGGGTCAATTAGTAAACTAGCTGAGCCTTGGAATTAAGTTACTTCAATAGCGTTCGGCCCTTTCGTCCAGTCCTGGAGGGTGCTTTAATTTAATTAAGTGATGCCGGTAAAAACAGGCACGTCGGCAATATTTGGCATGTAGGTACATCTTCATACAATTTAAGCGAATGAGCGTTTTCACTACATTCAATTTATTGCTGCTTTTCCTGCGAATTTTTATGCTTCCTGAAGTTTATTCATGTATTCAGACAGACTACAAAAATGTGCGATTTTCTCTTTGATACCCAATAGTTGGGCTGACTGAAGTGTGTTAGGTCGATTTGGAAGACAACTCTGTTTTCCTACATCATTTTCATCATCATTATTTTGGGGCATAATTTGCAGTATAACTGCTAAACAATCGTCGGAAATAATCCAATAAGGGCAAAAAACACGACTGCAAAATTTTGATTTTTGGTCGAAAATTTCATAAGGTTTCAAAAAATTCAAGTTCCTCAAAATGCCTCGAGTGATACATCATTTTCATCGGAAAGAGACAAGGAATGCAACGAGCTAATTAAAAGACGCCGGAGCCTTTCCAGTTCTCAAATAATCAACATTTTCTGTCTATTTTGAACGGTTTTTGAGCAGTGGCAATTTTCAACGGACGATATCTTCCTTATTTTTGACCCACAACCTTCCTATTCGATATTGGGCAACTTATTAGGTCGGAAACAATCCAATAAGGGCAAAAAACACGATTGCAAAATTTTGATTTTTGGTCGAAAATTTCATAAGGGGGGA